TCTATGGTTAATACGTTTGGTAATTACTGCATATAAGCCTGCAAAATATGGATAAATTCTTATTTCAGATGATCACCCAATAAACAGTCGAAATATTGAAAACAATCACGACAGTGTACATTTCATTTCTTGGAGTATGTAATATTTTTTTTATATCTATAGAAGTGAGATGGTTTTTGAATTTTCTATATTTTTATGCGGTTTATTTTTTCCTGTTTTTCTTTCGATTTTAATTGTTTCAATTTGTTTACAAATTGTAATAAAGATTACTTTGAACTTAAACTTGAAAAGACTTGGCTTTTAGTTTCTATTTCCTGTTGTACGGTACTGATTATGGGATGCGATCAATAGTACTTTCTGTTGTTTTGCGCCAATATAATTTGTTCCGCATTCAAACTCATCAGGATGCCTCCACATACCACATTCACAAAAATATTTAACCAAGTAGAAAGAACGCCCTCTATAATACACGAAGTGTCGGTAATGTGGGGAATCCCCTATCATTCAGGCAGTTATAAAAGAGACTTTGTCATCTATAAAACATATTTATCGCTAATTAATTGGCGTTTAAATAATACTATTTTATACTATCCTATAGTATTTGGATATTATTTATACCCTACAATTTCTGAAAGCAAATTTAAAGTCTTTAGTAATAAAATTTCTACAAACCGTTAAATATCTGTAATTTATCGAAAGATGACAAATTCATAATTTTATAAATGTAATTCTAGGAACATTTCAAAATGTGTAACGTATCTGATTAATTCATAGAGGAGCGGAACCAGGAATGTGTAAACTTGGAGTACCAGTACAAAGTGAGACGTGCTAGCGTGGGAATTCGAAGATAGATACTTTCAATTATATATTCCATTTAAAGTACTTATTTGTAAAAATAAAATAATTAAAATTTATACATGGGCTGAACCAGGATTAATGCCTGACACTTCTCAGCACACCATCACAAAGCTATAGTGTCTATATTATTATGATTACTATTATTGCTACAGTTCTAATAAATACAGAAAAGCGGATTTGTGTTGTCCCATATTCTGTAAACATTTAATTTGATTTCTTTCACTTCTCGAGAAATTGTGTTTAGAACCTCGTGGCCCAGTTCTACCCAAAGGGAAAGACCTGCCCTCTCCCGCATCTCGGCGCCCCTGTCCCACTGGTCTACTAACTGAACTTTGTATGTTTAAATTGATGAATGAAATGTTCTTGTTTCCTGTATTTTTTGCTTTTGGTCAAACATAGCCGGAAACTCTTTAGAAAATGATTAAATTCATTATTATTTTTTTAGGCTTTCATTTAACACAATTTTTGTTGGCAAATTGCTTGCTTTTTTTGGTATAATATTTATCCGAATAAAATATATATGAAATTAAGTAACAATAATAATTAATAAGCAAACACGTAAGTAATACACAATAATATGTAATAAACAAATAGAACAAGTAACTAGTTTGTAATATTTATTTGTTTACTTTTGTGTGTGCAAATATTTTTAATAGTTAAAACAAAATATGTAGTCCTGTTTATTATTTGTGATAAAGTGTGTGTAATGTAATTAAGCTTCACAAATATGGACAAATGTTAAGTACAAATTACCAGAGGTCAACCATTCTATATATTATTTATTTCATATTATATTCTCAAAGTATTAAATAAAATACAATTAATTATATCCAACAGTATAAATATAGTGAAGATTTTAGAAATATGATTCTAAAGAACCGTTTCGTCTGAGATACCAAGGTTCTCGAAAAGTCTTTGAGTAGGAATCTCGTTTGCATCTACAACCACCCGGTTATGGTCCAACATCAGAACATTCATTGACAGCCATGTTGAAGAAAACCACATCGGGTGATCTGTAAAACGTGCACAGAAGAAAATATTATAGAAATATAACTGTATAAATTACACTGAAAATTGTGTTCGTTTTGTTGACTGAAACAGATAATGATGGCGCTGACACTGTACTGATTCTAGAAAATATAACGATAATGTAGCAATGGCGTTCACTGCAACAAGGATGGCAACGAAAAAACGACAGCAACAGCAAAAGACACAGCACAGTCAAATAAAAATCACTGACAATCACAGCCACTGTCATAACCACAACAACAATCATAATACAATCATAATATCACTTCTTCTCAAGTTTCTTCTTCAAATTCTCAAAATCATTATGAGAGTTACAAGAGCAATTTGATTTGATTTTGAATTTATTCAGCAATCAGAGTAAAATACAAAAACATTGAAGACAAGACAAGGAAAAGCAAATACAATTAAAAACTCTGAAAGCAAGGAATAGCCCAAAAAGGTTTCAAAGAAACGTATTTCCATTGGAATCCTGCAAACGAAACATTCAATTGCTAAAAGGAAGAACAGCAATAATTTTTAAAAAAAAAGGACACTTTGTTAAAATTGAAAAAGGATTATTTACAATTTGAAAGTAGGACAAGATAAAAAGATCAACAATTTCAAAATGTAAAAACCAATAACAATATGACTGGCTTCTAAAAGTCTTTCCAAGGCATATTCTGATATAATTCATCATTATATTCATTTGATATATCTTTTAATATACCGCTTGGTGTTACTGGATGAGATGCCTCAACAACATCCCACCCAGCCTTTGAGAACAGCTCTATCTGATAGCAAGGTCTTTCTGGGTTGACTAAAACCAGGTCAGGTCTCAATAAGCACAGGGACGCATCTATATGCATCGGAGCATCGTAGAAGTCACTCAACACCCAGATTGTAAATAACAAGATTGGTATCCTCAGTAAAACGTTTTATTGAAAAGTGATTCACTATAGACCTACAGTATAACAGTAAAACAACATAAACAATATAGAACTCACGTGACTTAACTGGCAAAAATGTCCTTTCCAGCACATTGAAAATCACCAGCATCAAAGCAAGGTTCAAATTCTGTCGTCACAAATTGACCTCTAGCTGGCAATTCTAGTCTCTCATGGGATTCAATATAACCCTATAAAAGGTTTAATAATTAAATATTACAATTCATAACCGAGTTCAAACTCTGACCAAGATTACTGTACCATTGATTTACGCTTGTTAGTTGTTGTGTTGGCCTTGCATCAATATATTTTGCAAAAAGAATATTACACAATAACGACACAATCCACTTTTTAAAAATTTATTTATTTATTTACACTCTCATTCTACAGCGGGAAACCCGCCACTTACAAAATGGATTAAAATATTAAACATTAAAATATGGCAATATGATTATTATATTAATAATAATGATAATAATAACAGTAACATTAATTCATCTTATACAATTTTACAAATTTTCTTACAAAAAACATCCATAACTGTCAAAGAAAAGGTCAATAGAGTTGTCTTTTTTAATTCCAGTGTGTGAAGTCTGTTTTCGCATATGAGTGTAAACACCATTTTGGTTACCAGATACAATAGAAAGTAAATTTTGTATAAAATTTGTCATTCAGAACTAAAGAAAATGGAGCTGAATGAGTCGATCGGAAAACTCTAGCAAAGCATATTTCCAGGGAAAGTGAAAGAGACATTTAGACAAGTACCAAGAACTCTTTGCACAGAAAGAAATAAAGAGAACCATGTAAAGTTGGAAAGACCTTGAAGAAATTCCTCAGTATAGACAGATTATCACCATCATTTTATACCCTAAAAGTCTGCTTCTTTGGGCAGTTTCGCTTTCTCTTTTACCTTTTTGCCTAACGATCCTGCATTACTGATAGAACTTGTGCTTTTTCCATATCATCTCTATGATTTTTTTTCCAATTGTTGGTGGTACATCTGATTCCATAAACAAAATTTGTTTCTGTCACTTGTCATTTGACATCCTTGTCCTAAGCAGTGGTGGAGAGAGCAGGGACAGGAGGAATTTCCCACGTCGGACAGACCTAAATCTCCTATCGTCCGACGCACGCGACTAAGTCTTTGGATCAAATATATATAAATAATTTGCCTATCCAAATGACGTTATTTTGAATGCCAATCACTAATATTGTGGTCTAAAAGCACATTTTGTACCATACTAAGCCATAAAAGCTCTCACCATGAACCCTACAAAAGAGTTTCTATTCCGGCCGTCGACTGAGGTTTAGTCGCCCCTGCTCGGACCCCTCCGTTGAACATGTCGGATCCCTTGTCGGCAAATTTCTGGCACCACCGCTGGTAACATGTGCAGTGTAAGTACATGATGGCGCATTGGTAACAGTGAAACTGCAACACCACAACACATTTAACAATTTTTATTAGAAGAAAATGTTAAATTGAAAGGCTCTTTATAGAAACACCTACTGTAAAACCTAATGCAAAACATCATAGTACCTACCATGTCATAAAGCTCATCACTCATTTGTGGTTTAGGGGCTGTTGTCCACTTGACGCCCTCTCTGAAATATTCTTTCATCAAACGGCGGTATGCACGATACTCAAAGAAACGACACCTCCATGCCATTGGACTTTCAATGATTTCTTCACCAACCACAAGCAGAAGATCACGTGGCATCGCTGAATACAATCCTACATACAACATAATTTTTTTTTTTTAACAATCTTCTTGGTTTGGGAATGGCTGTATTTATGTGCCACTCTTGATTAGTACAGTAGAAAAATACATATAAAACAGAAATATTATAATCATAATTGAACAGAGATTACGAATACAATCTAGGCCTACCACTTGTCACGTGAATACACCAACACACATTAACACTTGGCAATCATTGAATTGGTAATTGACAGCATCGAATGTGTCATGAAGACACCTTTTAAGGTACTGTAGGATGTTAATTCAACGACTCACACGTGGGCAAAGTGTAACCTGCAAGCCACATTTTGTTGCTGCTCGCGATAACCCTGTGTACTTTGGATATAAAACCCTTTGTTTTTAAGGCCAGATATATTTCAGACCAAACACTACTGTGCGGCACCAACAATAAAAATGCATAGTCAATTCTAATATACTATTGTCCTATTAGCATTCGAATGAACTTGTCATGCCGTTTACTTATCCGTCGAGCTGAAATCAGAAGTTACCACTGCCTAAAAGGTTAAGCCATGAATTAGCAGCTCGCATGCCTAACGCAGCTCATCTTGCTGACAATAGAAAGAAATTACAGTTAAATTAAATGGAATGGACGTCTTTCGTTTTCTTTATTTGCATCAACACCAGCTTGCGGCTGTGGTTGTGTCTGATGCCAGTTAAGCCTTGCTCCAAAAAAAAAAAATAAATAAAAAATAACCGCTGCATTTTCTCTACAGCGTGGCTGTCACCAAAAACTATCAGGAATTGAAGATCTGTTCAAAAAATGCAGCCGAACATTCCGCATACGCCAGTGCATGATATTATATTAAATATATATATATAGATAAAAATGTATATATATATGTATATAGATATGTATATATATATATGTATATATATGAAAAATGGTGTACAATCATTGAAAGTTGACTTTATACCATTTATTATCCATTTGTTATAAGCGACAATCGTCCTATATCTATCACCTTAATAGTATTTGAGCAAGGGTGACCATTTGTGCACCATGACCCCAATGACCCCAACGTAGTGCGAGCTATAACTTCAACAAGTATAGTTCCATGAGCAACTTTAATTCACATTAATGTAATCGAAGTAAAAATTTTCATAATCTGATTTAATTGAATGACTTCTACTTCACCACCACCTCAACCATCACAAATGACTGACACCACTGATGACCACAAACACCACCACCACCGCAATCAGCACCTGCCACCACCACCACCATGATAACAGGGACACAAACTGAAAGAGGGCATTTCCGAAAGATTGGTTAAATGAGCTTACGAAACACATCCAATTATACTTCACTGCACTTTGTGATACCTATCGCAAGCTGTATTCAGAATAATACAGCAGTAAAAACATGCAAATATCATTAGTTTTTGGGAGCTGAGTTAGTTTAAAAAAAAAGTTTGCTTGGTTGAGGAAGTGCAGGAGGCTGTCTGAATTTCACGGGTTGCGGGGCACTTCAGACCCCTATAGACGAATCGAGTATCAAGGCAGGGGCGCCGCTAACTACAGCCCTAACATCAGCAGTGGTTCCAGCCGCTCCTCGCCAATAGTTCGGTTCTTTAAACCAAGTCTTCTCGGAAAAGGACTTGGAAATGGAGGTCCAGTGTACACATCTGACTCGTGTGCACTTTAAATAACCCATTGCATCTTTCGGAAGAGTATGGATTTACCCGAATCTATGGTTCATTTGAGCCCCTGTCGTGGAATGATGTGATGCTACGATAAGTGACTCTTTACGGCTGCTAGTTAGTCATGAATCATGCCCATGTGCAATTCAGCCGCGAGTTATGGGTTACTCTCCTACGTTTCGTAATAATGCATCATGAGTGGATTTCTCGTACAATAAAAATACTGTACTGGGTTTGGTCTGCAGGAGTTCGTGCTTCGAACAGGTCATTTCATTCTTAGAAGAAGCATTTTGATGGAGAAAGTGCACCTTTTTTTTTTTTTTTTGCCTAGGTCGAAACTAACTCCGGCTATATAAAATTGATTAGAAGATTGAAAAATGTTATTCTTATTAAAGAATAGATATGGACTACTACATTCATTTTTTATTGATCTAATCTATGTAAATTAACATTTAGAGGTATTAATTTAAAATTACAAATATTATGGGAATAATCATTTAAGTTTATAATAATATTTAATAATATTTAAATATAGCAAGAAGTAACTAATGTTACAATTATGTTATTGTTTATTGAAGTCTACAAAAAAAGATAGGAAGGAAGAAAAACAAAGAGGTCCGCAGCGGCTTACATTTGTACCAAATTTATATAATAATGATAATGGCTCATAACTATATTTTACATGTTTGTAGTAAATTTTGGACAGATTCAGTACCTTCATGAGGACTCCATCATACATCAAGGCATTAAACCAGCTAACTTCCTCGTCTTTCCCACCGGACTAAAAGCTTGTGACTTTGGTTTTGCAAGAGCTCTTGAGGATGGAACAACAATTACTTCGCAAGTTGGCGGTACGATGCGGTACATGCCACCAGAACGGTTTCAGAAATCACCACTTGTGAGCACAAAGTGCGACATTTACTCTCTAATGATTGTAATTGTGGAAATCATGACAGGTAAACGTCATTTTCATGGCGTAAGTGACTATGAGCTGACACGAAGGAACCACCTTCGTGTCAGCATGTTGCCATTAACCAGAGGCATGTTCTTGTCGCAAATAAAAGTAAGACTCAAGTTTTCAAAGTGCTATAAAATCTCACTCTGATCACTACTTTACTCATAGCAATAATCATCAGAGGTCAAGTCTACATGTTTCATTTGTACCAAAATTTATATAATAACGATAATGGCTCGTAACTATATTTTACGTGTTTGTAGTAAATTTTGGACACTAATCATCAAAGGTCAAGTTGTCAAGTCTACATGTTTCATAATTGCATGTTTGAAGAAGTGCTTCCAGGTGCTTCTCACGATACGCAGGAAACTTGGGACACCTGTGATAATAATGTGTTCACATAAATATAGAATGAAATGTGTTCCAAAAACCTACTTCAACAGGTCGTCCTTTCCTTCCTTCTGAAGAAACTTGTTGAGATATTCCAATGCTTGTTTGTCCTGGAATAACTCCTCCAGTAAAATGACCATCATTGGTCCCACGCCATCCTCCTCGTCCCAGTTGCGGAAATACCTCTGATACTAGGGGCCCTGATACGCCGTTCACAGTGAGCTTTTGCAAAGCGACACTTTCCTAGAAGGAAAACAATTAATAATTCACAGAGTATTTATTATATCTATATTATATACTTGTTTATATTATGTTTATCATATTTTTATATTTATTATAGTGGCGTAACAACAAATCAAAATGTTGTGGCAACGTGTATTAGCAATTGATTAAGAGTGTGGTTGAATGTGTAGTTGAATAGCTTGGTGGTTGGATGTAGTGAAGTTGAATAGCTTGGTGGTTAAGATGCTTGCCTTCCAATCCATGGTGCCTGGGTTCAATTCCTGTCAGTGTTGCAGGAATTTTTCTCACGACCAAAACAACTCCACTCCCTAAATCTTCATATTGAGATTTAGTTTGTGTAAAAGCATCATGTGTGTATGTTTGTCTTGTGTAAGGGATTGTCACCTACAAGTAGGACAGTGATATATTCGCTAT